GCGCCATGCCGGCCATGCCTCTTGGAAAGAAAAAGAAAAGAAGAGAAAAGAAAAGAAAGAAAGAACGGAAGGAGTAAGTCGTTTTTTTCTTATTTTTCTTTCGGGTTCTTTTGGTGCCTCTTAGAGTTCTCAGGTTGAGAGTTTCTTGCGCTCAGGTTCAACGCTCCAGTTCGCGACGAGCCCCCAGCCGGAGCTGAAGGTCAATGCTGAGCCGGAGTTGTATGCTCAGTATTCAATCACTTTTTGGAGGTTCTTTCCAAACCAGGCAGCCAAGCACATTCTAGACACTTTGGAATGTGTGTGATGTGTTTGCTTATGGTTTCAACATTCTGACTTGCCAGACAACCAGAGAGACTCTTGCACATTGACACTATATATATATACATACACAGATTGTTGTGTTTATTTATTCTTCGGATTCTTTTTCCAAGAGATCAACCTCAAATACCTTCGCCCAAGGTTCAAAATCAAAAGTTCCCCAAACATACAAGGTGGGAAGCGGCTTCAATCGCCAATGATCAACCAATTCGCAGAAAGCGGATTTTGCACCTTGCACAAATTTGCAGACCCAACTTAGTTCGGTCTGAATGCATTCAACAATTCGATGATTGATTGGCTAGCTTATCGAAGGAGAAGGACAACACCCCAATGTGCAAATTGCGTATCAACCTGTTGCAGTCCTGAAAAAGGTGTGTATTGTTTCTGCACTTGTGTCTGAGGGATTTTGATCATACGGCCCGGGAGCCCTTTAACTGCAACATGTTATTTAAAGTTTCAAGAGGTAGTGCTGAGCGGAGCTGGGAATGGGATCAGCCACCTCGATTGTTGATGGAGATACATTAGTAGCTTGCTTGCACTAAAACGCGACAACGACACCGCACCTTGAAAGCTGCTAAGCACGTTGCGGTGCGGGTGGACTTTTGATGTCTTTCAACAGCGTTTGCTTGGGCCCTTTGTGCTATTGGCACGTGGAGAACGTGTCTCCGAGTCCAGAATCTATCGCACTCGATGTATGGTGCAAAAGTCTGGTGTCGCGGTACTGCGGTCATGTCAAAGCTGTGCAACAAGGACCCTTATTGGCCGCACATGGATCACCACAGAGCACAGCTGCATGCCGGAAGCCTTTTTGGAGTATTCAGTTTGCTAACCCTTGTGGCTGTTTTTGATGAATTGGTAGTGCAGAACTCTGTCGCAGAATGTCACGATTGGTCCCAAGACATAGCTAAGGCTCGCAGCTATGCTCCGCCGGACAACCCAGATCTTGTAGTCTCCTGCACCGGCGAACAGCTCACCAAGCTCAGCCAATGATTTGCTCGAGGAACCACATGCCATATCCAGGTGGAGCACCGGCAGGCGTGTTTTGATTTGATCGTTTCAACAAAGACCTCTCTTCAGTTTGGCTCACAGCTCAGTGCTTCTTGACAGACTTAAAATGACTTCTCTAGGCAATCCTCGACGCGTCTGGGACCATAGCACTGGAGATAGAATTGCCACGTGTCAGAATGGAGCACAATCCACAGATGTGCTAAGGCCCCTGATTGGCAAACTGAATTTCCATCGCCAGGTTGGGCAGATTCGCATTGTCCCCATTGTCTGAAAGGTCCCTTGAAATTGTGGATTTGACAGGATCAGCTTATGCAGATCCGTGGCTGCGTGCACCCACGCTGCAGCCATCAGGAGGCCTCTAGATATTTTGAAACACCTGGAAAGCTCTAAAGACTTCCAGGTGCTTTAGAGGAAGACCATCTCCCTTGCTTTTTTTCTACTTGTTCCCCTCTCTCTCTCTCTTCCCTCCCTCTCTCACTCTTGTTTCTGTTGTGCTCAAGCTGCTGGCGAACTGTTTCTGTTGTTTTTTGGAGGCTCTCTCAGAGGAAGAGACTTCAGAGATGCGCTCCAGACGCCGGCACCACTGCGCTCAGGACTGATTGCGAAGACTAGTGGTTGTGTCTTACTCTTGATCTCAGTGCATCGTTCGTTTCATGTGGTTCAACACGGACTGGTAAGAGTACCCAGTACCTGGTTGAAGGTCAAAAAAGTTAAATGCACATGTACAGCAAGAAGCAACGCAGAATGGCTGAACAATTGATGAGCGGCTGCTGCCATAGTTGGTGGATGGACAAATGGATTGATGAGTGGAAGCCGTGCTTGGTGACACATTGGACGCATCTGCTGCAATGAGACGGCAGCTGGCTCAACCCATGGCTTTGCTGTGGCTGCAGCACTCCCCCGTGAATGGTCCGTCTGTCGGTTGGCCAGTCGTTTGTCCCTCCGTCTTTGCAATTTTTTATGGCCTGTCCATTGTCCACACACCTGCCCCGCCTATTTGATCCTATCTGCACATAAAACGAAAGCTAGGCGAAGGCTACTTGAAGGTCTGTATTGCGAATGAAGTGAAGGCATTTTGGGAGGGGTGAACCCAGAACCTGCTGATGGAGAGCGAACAGCTTGTGTCGCAAAAATCGGTTGCCACAGCAGTTTAGATTGGCATTTTTGCACCATCAGCTAGCCATGGTTACGTTTGTGGGTGCTGTGGCAAATTTGTCGGTTTGAGTATGGCAAGGGCTCGCGACACAACAAAGTTCCTTGGCGCTCCGCCATGCGAAACCCAGCCAAAACCACACTCAAAATACATAATTTCTATGGGCATCAAGTGTGTTACTAGGACTTTCCTGGCATACTGTGCTCGCTTTGGAAGCTGTCAGCACCAAGTTCCAGAAAAAGCCGTAAGGAAAACATGGTGCCCTTTTCCGCTTTGTTTCGAGGCCGTCTCAGGGCAAGAGAGGGCACCTCCGAAAAGCGGTTCTAGCGATAGGACGGACAAAGAAGGGCACAGCAGATGCATCTTCGAGCATTTTTAATAGATCTTGCAACCGAAGTGGGTATTATCAGGGGGAAAGGTGTGAAAAGAAGAGTTCAAAAGAATTACATGAAGTAAGTAAGTTTTCTTTTACAGCCAGTGTCTCCACACGTACTGATCGGAAAACCAACTTTAGTTAGATTTCTTTTCAACTCTTCTGCGAACTCTTGGTTTAAATCCTCCCAGCGGACTCCCTTTGCAACAAATTAACTCTTGATCTTATTCCTTGCCGGGGGCTCCCAATAGGAGTCAATAGGGCCACCAGGAATATCACCATTGAATGATTGTAAGGCATCAGAAATTGACCTTGCTAATATCAAGGCAAGGCCTGTGATCACCAACCTCTTTGCTAAGAATTAACTCCTGATTTAAAACTTCCCAAGGGCTATTCCTCTCCAGGGCCTGTGTTCATTGACCCCCTTTGCCAAGAATTACCTCTTGACTAATTCCTCCGCAAGGGCATTCCTTCCTGGGGCCTCCTTATGGGGCAACCCAGCACATCACCATTGAATGATTGCAAGACATCAGAAAGAGACCTTGGTGATATCAAGGCGCGGCAAAGCCTATGATCACTGACCTCTTTGCTAAGAATTCACTCCTGATTTAAAACTTCACCAGGGCCGCTCTAGGGCCACCCAGCTTGAATGTTTGCAAGACAGTTTGATGCAGTGACCCTAGTCGTGACAATTGCAGCAGCCCTCATAAAAAGGCCTTGGGAAAGAATTGACTTTAGATTTAATTTCCTCGCCAGATCTCTGAAAAACAAAGAATTGACTCTGGGCCCATTGTCCAAAGCAGTATTGTGTACATGAGCCCTGTTACAAAGAATTAACTGTAGATTTAATTCGCCCCGCTCACACGTTGGCATGGGAAAATGACAATCGCTTGCTAAAATTAACTCTCGATTTAACTCCTTTGGCATGAGCACAGAAGTGACACACCATGTACAAGCATTAACCTTAGAGTTATATAATCTTTTTTGAACTCCCGTTTTTCACGCTCTTCCGTGGTTCAGCGCGGGGGTGTTGGAGACTCCCACATCGCTTGTTGGAGCTTCTTGAGTGAAGCACGTGGCTCTAAGCGTTTGCGATCACCTGAGAATATCAGGTTTTTGATCCAACCTTCTCCGAGGATCCACACATTTGACCCATCCATAGAAGTGCCTGATGCAAGAAGGCTGCTCGCACCAGCATTTTGTTTGCCCCGTACTTAAAACCTAGAACATTAACTTGAAACAACCTGCAGCAAACTTAGGATTTTCAGGTCTGCTCTGCTCTAGCAAAATGTACGAGGCCTCACAACCAAGAATATGCCCAATGTGTACTTGCACTTTGGATCGTGCTTGGCTTGAGCACCATGCTATCGGCCTTTGCTTCGAGGACTTCCAGAGAGTCGTGAAGCGCAGCTGGATCAAAGCCCTTTGCCGTCATATTCGGCGCTCCCCTACAGCTGCATTCTCAAATCACGCGGGACCTACAGCCTTTCCGTGAGCACAAAGCCATGCAATCAGTCTCCAAACAATTGAGCCATTCCTTTTGGATTGCGGCGAAAAAGAAGCAAACAAGGCCGTGATCCATTTGACGAGCCGTTTCACTCGAAGCCGAACACTTGGGCAAGACAGTGATTGATCTTCCTCAGCAAGACCGCGCGGTCGTTGTTTGATTTCCGACTGCTGAGGACCTCACGTTTTGCTTACAGCGACCGCGCCTTGGACAGCCTGTCCACCGCAAGTCAGCTTCCCAAAACTGGTGGAGAGTTGAGTTGCAGAACTCTTTCTTGGGTGCGAACACAGAGGTACAGCCGATAGCTACAGATTTCCTTCACTTGGTAGCAGCCCTGTCTCTCCACCAAGTTGGCGCCTCACACAGATCCATGATTTCATCACATATCATTTCTTTTGACACATCCGGCGGACAAGTTGAAAGTTGTCACGATTTAGGCCTGGCTAAGCCGTCCACGCTGCTTATCTTCGATTGGGCCGGGAGCATAGGGCTGGAGTTTTGAGAACAGTGCAAGCATGTGCAAGCGAAGCTGGAAGCCGAATCCCTCAACCCCTTTGCTTATGACGCGTGTCGATACAACAAAAATCCCAATAATCAGCACCTTTTTGATGTGTTCTTCATCAAGCGAGGATGACACGTTGATGTGCAGTTCAGCACTCAATTCCGGACAGTTCCTGCTGGGCACCTGGGATTTGGTGGACCGTTTGGCCGCCAGTAAGTAGCTTTTCATAATTTCTACACTTCCGACCTTTCACCTCACCACTTGCTGTGCTAGTGCCAAACATAGCGAAGAAAAGCCAGCCAAGATCACATCATTTTGTGCAGCTTGAAGCCTTGGTCGAGCAGGCGACATTGACATATTTCTAGATAGTTCTCTTTGACATATTTCACAAGCATTGAAAAGAAAACTTCGTGACTTGGGAGGTGCTCACAACCTCTATGCAACTTGGCGAAACCATCATCGTGACCAATGCTGATGAGACCATCCCTCAGTATGCTTCCATATTCAGCAATAAAGGCGACAAGGCTTGAGCACTCTTTTGCTGCCACGGCGAATTAATGCGTGACAGTTGAGGATGTGGGTCTCGGAGAGTACTCGTCGTTTTATTCCACGAGTGACACCACTTCTGTGCGGGTCATAGATGTTTGTCAAGGAGTCAAGGTCGTGTTCATTCTGTTCTTGAATTCCGAATCTGTCTCTGAGCGTTTTTGCCGCAGCCAAGGTCCTCTGTCCGAGTTATTTCAGCGCGAAAAATGTTTGATTCTTGCCTGCACTTAGCCATTCCGATCCTTTTGCAGGATTGTTTGAGTCTGTCTAGCACACCTGGGACAAGGAGCAGAGTTGGCCTGGAGATGTGTTTGCATGGAAGCGCGAGGCATTCCGCGAGGCCTTGGACGATTTAGACACTTTCTTGTTGGAAGATGCGAAGAGCCATGCTGAGCAAGCCTCAAAAAGGTTATTATACCTTGGCAAACAACTGCCATGTCTCCTGGTGGCATGCACCTCGGTCAGACTCTCGGGCCTTTCTCTTGCACCTTGCACAATGTCTTGCGCTGTGTCAGTTGAGTCAGTTGGGTTCCTGTGTCAGTTGTACTGGGAGACTCTGCGGCTGAAATGGAAGCAGTACTTGGCTGAGCTTAAACCATTGCGTCCGAGACCTGCCCCATGCAGAGTCCGAGACCTGCCGCAAACTCGCCGCAGAGCTGCCGCAGACAGCTGCGACTGCAGGCGCATACTTCATTGATCGGACTGGTGTCACCCTCTGCTGTGAAGACAGCTGGACTCTCGGGAAGATGGTTGGGAGTTCTGTGACGATGATTTGATTGACTGGGAGTCCCCGGTCCTTTTTGAAGTCTTTTCAAGATTCTCAAGCATTGCAACTTAGAATGTGTGTTTTTGCCAAGGTTAAATTCAGAGAAATGCCAACAGCAGAAGAGCTATTGGAGCAGCTGCGTGTCATCAATCAGGCACAGTGTCTCTCTTTTTCAGCTTTCCTCTCACTCCAGGTGTTGCCAAAGAGCCAGCATTTGAGTCATTTTACACCAGGAGCTGCCCACAATTGTAGCAGAAGAGAGGAGCAGCAACAGGCCATGTATCTTGCCGCTTTGTCTGTCTTTCTTTCATCCCGATTTCATTTCGGCGCGCCAGGAACTTGTCAAGCCAACTGTGGCTGTCTGCTGCCCCTTCACCGCATCTCATCTGCACAGATACGTTAAGTTTCCCTAAAAATCTAGGAACCAAATCATTAGTCCGAGCGCTTCTTCAAGGAAGCTCGAGAGCTTCCTTGAAGAAGCGTGAGCTATTTGTAGTAGCGTCCACTTGTAGGTACTAGCTACCTCTCTTCTACTAGCTAGCTATCTAGCGGCGTACCTCTCCCGGGCCAAAAAAGTGAAGATCATTTCAACTCGCATCAAGTCCACTCGTGATAATCCATCAGATGTTCTAGGCCAGCCTGGTCAAACCGTGCGTGGACCACTGAGCACTGCTAGACTAGACGTTCTGATGAGATTCATTCCTGTCAGACGTTTGTTTTGATGTTTTTAGAGGCTGCCGGCAACAGCTTACGGGACCATGAGCATGGGCAACCGCTTCGGAGCACTCCTGTCATGTTAAAGAGAGCAAGCTCTCAAGAAAAAGACTTTGACGCGTATCACACACTCTCTCTCTCTCTCTGGACACACAATACAGACACACTTATAGAAATGCGTACGGATCTGAATGCCACTTGCCACACGCCCATGAACGCCTCAGATGTCAGGTGAAAGGTAAAACACGAAACGCGAGTTGCGGTTAGTAACAGAACCACATACATGAACCACCATGAAAGCAAAGCACAGCGAGAACAACAGGTAACCAGTTTCGCAGGTACGTTTACACGGGTCCCAGAAGAGGTCTTCGTTGGCCACCGCTCCTCTGGGACGCCGGTGGCCCCCTGCTGAAATAAACAAAACAAATCCATCAGGATCCCTGTGACTCCAAGGGTTACACACAATACAGACACACACAGACAATCGAGATTTTTCTGTATAGGTTGTTTTGCGCGCATAGTTGCTGATGAAGCAATGTTAGTCGCTCTTCCGAACTGCGAGCGCTCCTGTGCTTGTCCCTCTGCCTTGCCCCCATCTCAAATGGTCTCTGAGACTGAAGGTGTCTAACCTCTAGAGCACGATGAATTCGTGTGGAAGACTGTGTTCTGCATACGTGTGTCCTGCGGTCTCTGCGATGGTGGCTAGTTCGGTCTTGGCTCCTGAATATGGACACATTCCGGACCATTTAGATCCGTCTTTCACACATTGATAAGTCACGAAAGCTAGCATCAGCTAGCTGGAGTTGCTCTTGCTTTAGCAAGTCAAGGGCTCGCAGCCTCGAGAATCATGAATCACGTGAAAACTTCACGTGTAGGGGGGCCCCCCCCCCGTGGTGGGGAACTTTTAGACCAATGTGCCGGGCTCCTTAGCATACTTTTCATGCAAAACCATAAGACTCCCGCAAACGACCAGCAAAGCAAATCGACCTAACAAAAAAGTAATTTGCACGAAACCATGACACACACAAAGCAAAACAATGCTTCATATTTTTTTAACCATGCATCATCAAAAAGTACATACAGACGCAAACTTGTGATTTTTTACCTTGAAATGTTAAAGTAAAAAACCACAAGTTTTGTAAAAGAACCTGGATAAAAAGGACAACATAGAACCAGACTCATCCTTACCAGAGCTCTCCCTGAAGGAAAAGAACATAGAAATCCTTTCTGCTAAATGGATACCGCTTCGTTTGATGTCTGTTTTTAAGCTGGTGACCTGGATTACCTGAACTTTGGATTACCTGAAACTTCACAATATGTTACAAACAGGCGATTTGCAAACTATTTTAGTAGCACCACAAACGTATTTAATGCGAATGCGGGGGCGAAAAACATTAGGTTTTACATTTCAGGAGAGGATAATACCTATTTGGATTTGAGTTCAGTAAGGTTGTTTGCAACTTTGCAAAATAACGATCGAACAAGACACCATTTCTTACGTCCATTAGGAGGCTTACATGCCTTTATTCAACGATACAGAGCAATAGTAGGAGGTCAAATGGATCGAAATATTGTGGAATACAATAGACACTGTGAGTTGTATGTTAGAGACATGGATGACATAGAGATGTCAGCTAACCCAAGATGGGACGCTGACTTTCATGACTATGCTACAGTAATGGTTTGGATGTATTATTGCAGGCTACTACTGCTGGTGTTACTCCAACCCCCGGTGTAGTAACTGTATCCCCTGACGGTGATAAAAATGAATGGGGTAGAATAGATAAAAGATACAGTATACAAGACACTCATTGACAAGAATTTCCGGCGCTAATGGTAAAGCCCGATTCAGCCATAAGCCTGTTTGTGGGTTGATGCAATCAAATTATTATTTACCTTTGAGGTATGCGCCTTTGGAATTAGAATTCACAATTGTTAATGATGAATTGGTACCTATTGTAGAACCACAAGGAGGCGCAGTAGGAAACCCGAACACTCAAACTGACAAACAGGGGTATTACTTTCAAGCAGCTAACACTTCTACACAGTGGGAATTAAACAATGTTATTATCAGAGCTGAAGTAATGACTTTAGACAACACTGTTAATAACAACATAGTAAAACATTTGTTGGACGGTGAGTCACTAAAACTGGTCTTTCCTATGTATCACACACTGACACAAACCTTCAACACAGGAGGCGGTGAATTGGATATGAACATTGTTAAGTCATCATTCAAACTCACAGGAGCATTCAGTACTTTATACAGAACACCAGGAAATGGAACTATCAATGCTAACTATTTGCCAGACAACTATGTTCATAAGCGATGGAACTACTTTTACAATTCTCAATTAACTCATTCATCTGGGACAATGGAGCAGTAGCAAATCCTCAAGACCAAGGCAAAGGTTTCCAAGACTATGGTAGAAACTTATAATGGCAAATCCAGTTAGGCAACAAAAAGTATCCAGAGTTTGAGGCACAATCATTATCATGCAGAAACCTTCTACTATTTGCGAGGAGCCATACATTACATGAACCCGGACCAAGATGCATTGATTTTCAGTTACAGGCAATACGGAGAAAACACATTTATTATTGGTATGTCATTTGAAAAGATGGCTGACGTCAACTTTACTGGACTTAACACAAAAATGGGTAGTTTAATGACTATGAAAATCCGCCCTACTGAAGGAACTCTAAACACTACACCCGGTGATAGCACTAACGCAATTTATGCTGAAGACATTCAAGAGGTTTTTACCCACCTTATTAGTGCAAGCGTGTTGGAAATTTGCGAACGCGGGTCTGTGGTATACGATTAAAATAATAAGTCTACATTATTAATATATTTGTCTAAAACAAAATATATTAATAATGTTTAAGTATCATAAACACAACAACAAAACAGGCACTAAAGCACATCTTCACAAATTTTTAATAACTTTTAGTCCATTTGATATGAGAGATACAAGTTATCTGGAGCATTTACACAAGGAACTTAAGTTAAGAAATGCAAGAGAGGGCATGGTAGCATTAAGAAAGGACATGATACAAGCAAATGCTAGGTCAAAGTATCAAAATGAACTGGACAGGTTGAGAGGTGAAGTCCAAAGAGACGACCTACCGCACAACACAAAAGAACACAGCATTAAGCAACCTAAAGGCCTATTGTTTTGCATAAATATATTAACATGTTTACCTAACATATTAATATATGGCAACTATGGCATTGGAAATGATAAATCCTTATTCAAAATATGAATTGAAGAGGCGACCAACATATGATGAAATAGCAGGGTTGATAGGAGAAAATGAAACATTAACTGGAAGCCTTCCAGACAGAAGGGCTACATTTTTTAAAGCAAGTCCTGAAGGTAGCTTCTTTGATGGCATTTGAAGTATTGAAGGAACAAAAAAACAGAATACAAGAGAGACAGATGAGAGAACTATTATTGAGACACAATTTAGGAGGTGGAACAGTTCATGTTGAAAGGATGAGGCAACAGAGTAGAGACACAACCCCAATAGAAGCAGAGACGCCAAGAGATGACAACGTTAATAATGCATCCATTCAAGCACAACTACAAGAAAGAGCCAGAATGGCACAGGAGAGAAAACAACAAGGACAAGCACACCAAAGTTTATTAAGTAGGAGCGCCACACCTGTTATTGATATGATATTTGGTGGATTGAGTAGAACAAGTAGCAGAGTAGGAACGCCAATGGCTCAACCGGTGCCACAATTAGCAATTGATTTAACACAAGACAACCAACAAGCAGAAGATGAAGTAGAAATGATGACAGCAAGAGAAGAACGCGAAGCCCCTGAACCCAAACAAGCAGTATTAAGAACCATTAGCTATAGATTAAATGTAGGAACTATGAGCGCAGAAGCATTGAAATTTCAATTGTTTTTGAGAGGCTTTGATGTAGATGACCCAGAGAATGAACTACCAACAAGAGCAAAAGGCAAAGGAGGAGGCAAAACAACAAAGCAATATTATGTAGATGTTGATATGATGCAAACCGGTGTATGGCAAAGAAGAATTGAATCAGGACTATTGAAAAGCAAAATTAAAGAATACAGAAACAGACACAGCGCAAGGGGAAGTGAAATGGCATAATTAAGAATAGAATCTAATTATTATTAATCATGATTTTAGTACACAATAGACTGAAGAAACACATATAATAGATGATGATGAATACTTACATTATTTTTAAATAAGCCAACAGAAAGAAGAGAACGAAGTAATGAGATAGAATCTGAAGATGAGGCAACACAATTCCCAGAGATAGAGAACAAACAAACGCAAACCGATAAGAAAATTACGTTTGACAAAGAGACTGAAACAGTAGATAAATTAAACCGGATAATAGGAAACTATATTGTGAAGATGAGTTCAAAGAACTTCAAAAGTTTAGAGCCATCAAGTAGTGATTTTGAGCCATCAAGAAGTGATAAGATGGTAGAAGCTTTTACAAAAATGATTGAAAACCCTAGCAGTAGTAGCAGTGACAGTGAAGGCAATAGGTGATGTTTCAAAAGACATAGAGGGAAATTAAAGATTGGTTTTAGATTGGCAGAAGTAGCAGGAAATACAGCTATGATGGGTGGCAGTGCTTTATTGTCAGCGATTGATTATTTGACACAAGCAGGGGAAAATTACAATGATAATGAAGAGGAAGTTATAAGCGTGCATTCTTCACCTGCAGTGAGTGTCCATAGTTCTCCACCACATTCAGTAGTAAATGTTTCATCAAGCAGTTCATCACACAATCCACCCATGGTAGCACAT